GATTTGCAGTCTGGGTAGTTATGTACCCAGATGTAAGGGGTGATGTGGTTGCAGAAATTGTCTGATAGCCATGGCTGGGTTCTCCTGCTTGTGTGGCATGGTGAAGAGTTCTGATGCCAGACATAAGGGTCTTCAAGCAGCCACCCTTTTGAGCCAGGTCATCACTATGTCCTCAAGGCTCTTGATGTAGGTCTCCATGTTAATTCTGAAGCCCTGTGGGAAGATTAATGGAGGCATTATATCGCCATCGCTAGTGATCTCTCCAAACAACTCATCCAACTCTTTCTGAATCCTCTGCACTCTCTTCAGATTGACACCCAAGCACACTCTAATGTTTGTATTGGAGATTCCAGCTGGAATGCCAAGCAGTACATCATGCTGTTTCTAAATTTCTGGTGGACTGAATTGTGTTATGGTGCTTTTTTTCTCACAGAAGATATCCAACTGACCCTACTATACTGTGTAGGTGATAAAAAAACAAACAAATTATTAAAAATACACCTTTAAGTGCCGAATCTAGATGCGTCGTCTGTGTTGTTGCTCCCATGTCACTAGAAGTTTCAGGTTTAAATAAACAACAGACTTCTTTGATGGGTGACCCGACCAAATATGATCAGTATTTGGCCTGCACCCAGAATAAAATTTGCTACTAGCTTTAGGATGTGCATTATATAAGTTCTAGAAAACGGCAACTAATCAAGACTTCACTTGGGCTATTTGATGTTATAGAATGGGTATGCTCAAAATTAAAGATATAAAAATGGAAGCTATTTACCCATTGCACCCTGTATATTCATCACAAAGTGAGACATTTATATATATGTATATATGGTGGACTCTCCTGGCATATTCAATGTATGAGTGTCCAGCAGCTCAGTTCCTCGGAACCAACAGCACATGAGATTTGTTTATAGTGTTGAAGGCTTTGTACAGAACCAACCACATTTTTTTGAAGAGCCGAGACCTGGTGCACTACATGCCACAGGGTCCCCAAATGACCCTTCGCAGGTTTTGAATTCAGAGTTGTCCTTCTAGACCAACTGCCATCCAAGGCTATAGAACCCAGTCAGTCCTGCTATTTACCCATAGCTGGAGGAGAAGAAGAGAATTCATACCTTTCCCAAGGTAATTAGCATGTAAGTGAATATAATGTATTTGACTGGAATTTGACATCAGCTCTTTGATTTCTCAATCCAAGTTGCTATCCACTACTCCATATATATATATATATATATATATATATATATATATATATATATATATACATATATATATATATATATATATATATATATATATATTGTAAATTAATTGATTTAAAATATGGTTCATTAATGGAACTAATGTCTTTAATTTAATTACAAAATTAAATTTGAAGCTTTTAGCTTCCATTTTTGAAACATGGTTAGAACTGTGTAGCAAAAAAAAACATATTTTAAATCAGTTAATTTATCATATTAATGCTCTGTACGTTTACATTGAGCACTATTTTGTAAAAAATAAAAATATCTATAAGAACACTGGATTATATATCTTACTGTTCTTTCTTTATATATATATATATATATATATATATATATATATATATATAAATTAAAAGGTTTATTTATCACTTAGCTGATTGATGTTACCTTCAGCATCCCAACTCCAGAGTTTTGTAGACTGACCTGTCTGTTTACTCGTCAGGATTTATTATCAGAAGGATCATGTTGTACAAGTTCGGCAGATGTATGAAAATTCTTGTAATATGGTTGTTAGTAAACGTTTCTGGTTTGTGTTGATGAATAAATAGATTATTTGCAAGTGATAAGTCAATCATTAAAAGCAATATTAAACCTGAGAAAGTGATATCTGGGTAGGTTGATTTACCTCTGGTCTTCATTACAAGTGCTCTCCTTGCAAGGGACTGGCTGAAAGAACATCTTTAATTCCCCTCCACCCAATTAGACAGTTTCCCTTTTTTTTATGGAATCATAGGAATTAGATTTTTATATTTTTCTTGATCATGAGATCATTACAGCCTCATCAGTAGTATATAAATCATGTTATCACCTTTATTTACATTTGGAGTAATGTCCTCATGTTTGAAGTTCTTATTGCAATGTTTATATCATTTAGTGTCTTACTTATTTCTTCATGTGTCTGTCAATACAAGTAACCTTCAGGGGATTTCAAACTGAACGCTTTATTTAATATACAGAAGAATATTTTTCTTATTTCAGTGTAAATGTTTAGAGATACTTTGTTCTTATTTAGTAATGCTTAGTTATTATTCACTATTTCCACATCAACAAGATCACAGAAGTAATAAACAAAATAGACAATAGTGGCCATATACCAGAAGACCTCACTAAATTCATCCTCAGAACATTACCTAAGAGACTTGGTGTAAATGAATGTGAGTTCCATAGTACAAACAGTTTAATAAGCCACATAATTAAACTAATGATGCGAATCCTGATGAATAGAGTGTGAAACAGAACTAGATAAGAGATAGGACAAGAATAGTCAAAGACACCAGAACAAAAAAAAAAGTGATATCCATGATCAGAATGATATCAGAGAGAGCAATACAAAATGCAGAAGGATATGCACTTATGTGCAAAATGCCTGCATGCAGATAGAAAATAATCTATACAAAAATAGAAGGGTGTGTGAAACAAGGATGTATCTTCTCCTACAGGCTTATTCAACCTCTACAGTGATGCTATCCTAAGGGAACTGGAGACTCTACCAGGATTTCTTATCAGTGGGTGAAAACTTAACAATATAAGATACACAGATGACACACTGTGTTGATGGCTGACTCAAAAAAGAAATTACAGGACTTCATAAACAGGGTTGTAGAAGAAAGCAAGAAAAAGGACTATCAACTGTGAGAAGACAGAAAGTATGGTCATCAAAAAGAGAAAAAGCCCAAGTTGCAAATTATAAATTGGAGATATAAACATCAAGCAGGTTGCAAAAGTTCAAATATCTGGGAAGCGTTTTAACAGAGGATGTGACATCGGGATCCGAACACACACTGGACTAGCAAAAGAAGCATTCCAAAAGCTAAGCAAGATGTGAAGAAATGGAAACATTTTGATAGAAACAAAGAAACAAGTGCTGGATTGCTATGAGATAGCTCTCCTCTTATATGACATTAAATATTGGACAATTTCCCCACAGATGACAAAAAACTAGAGGCAGCAGAAATATGATTCTACAGAAAGATATTGAAAATTCTATGGATGGAGCAAGTAAGTAACAAAGAAGTCTTGAAGAAAATGGTAACAGAAAGGACACTTCTATCCAGAATCATTAAGAGATTGCTGAAATTCTTTGAACACATAATGAGGAAAGAGAGCTTGGGAAACTTAACCCTCACAGGGCATATTGGAGACAAGTGAAATAGAGGAAGGTGGTGGGTCACTTTTCTAACTAGCTTTTGTGAATGGATGGCAGAACAGTAGGAAGGGTCTTTAATAAAGGGAGAAAAACTTTTAAGAGCCATATGAGATTGTGGAGAGCCATCATTCCCTATGTCCTGAAGGGATGTGGGACATAGAAGAAGAAAATGGCAATTGCCATGTCACCAAACTACTGAATCAACATTTTAATTCAGTAGTCTATTGTCTTGTATAATGTAAGTAAATGATAACTCCACGTTACATTAATTCAGACAGATAATACCCTTATTTTGGTTATTTTAGTCATAATGTTTCAACTGTCTGGTGTATCACCTAATTCAGGTATTAATCATATTTGGTAACCTTATGGAAGTTTTGAAGTGAATTCTTTATTTAATTCTTGAGGTTAAATTCTTCTCATTCCATGTTTCATGCTAGGAGACATAACTCTTACTAGTTAATTAAAAGATAATGCAAATATGGAAATAATAAGGGAAGATAAGGATAATGAATCTCATCTCAGAAATTCAGAAAGAAATTCTCCTGTTTTATCTCTTAGATTCTGCTGCCTTTTAATTCTACAGACATTTTTCTGTCTTTTATTTTACCTCTTTTTCTCATTCATTTTCACTTTCTTTTTTTTTTCCTTTTTCTCATTTCCTTCCTTTATTACTCATTTATTTTACCTTTCTTTTTCCTGTTTCCCCTTTTTAACTTCTTTCTTTTCTTCCTTTTTTTTTTAGCTCTTTTTCTTTCAACCTTTGTCTTTGCCTTTGTTTTAACCGCACATATTTCTTTCTCTTCCCTTTTTTGATTCCTTTCTTCTCTTCCGTTTTCTTTTTGCTGCTTTTTTCTTTACAATTTCCTTTCTAACATTTCCTTATTCTTTTCCTTATCAGCTTCTTTTTTCTTTTGTATTTCTTGTTTACAGATGAGAATGTTTCACAGAAATCCATTTTTTTTTCTTATGATACACTTTTTCCTTTTCATTTTTTATCTTTTATTCATTTTTATTATGTGATTCCTTTTGCCTGAAGGCAGCCATTTTGAATTCAAAGCGCTCAAGTCATCTGCAAGAATTCTCTTGGCGCTGGCAAGCTGAAGAGTCACAAATGATACAGTGATTTGTGCCACTCACCTGTTTTAGTTGCAAATTATGGAATGCAGCCGATTCATAGTGGCACCTCACATAGAGAAGGGAAAAAGATGGCGGACTTTTCAAGGTTAGAGGAGGGGGAGAACCAGATATCACATGGCCAGTCTGTTGTTGTTTGAGACACATAAACACACACACACATACACCTGTTGTTTGTACTTTCTTCACACTTCTTTTGTGCTTTCTACTTCAGATTTTCAATATTATCACTACCTGAAATATTATTTTTGATGAATTAAGAATGACAACATAATTTAAGTACTTACTATTACTAGAAAGTTTTCACATATCATACTTTAAATATATTGTGTCAAATTATTATATTAATATGCAGTTATTCTAGTCAGGGATCAATTTATTACTTAATGATCATAGAAAATAGATCCCTCACTTTATGTCCAATAGAATTAATACTCGCATACCTAAGAAATTTAGGCTTATGCCCACATCCAACTGAAACACTGATTCCCATACGATCACCAAAGTTAAGCAACATTAGGCCTGGTCAGTAGCTAGATGGGTGACTGCTTGGGTATACCACATGCTGTAAGCTTGGATATGTGGATGGTGTAATGGATAATGGCTTGGTATTGTTAATCAGAGAGCCAAGTTGCAATTCCGGTTGGGTTCGTTATATTCACCTACGTGTAATTACCCTTGAGAAAGATATGAAACCAGCTCTTCTACCCCAAACTATGGGTTAATTAGTATGATCTGTATCACTAAATCATTATTATCCCCCCCAACCAAATTCTTGTAATCTAAAAATAAAAATTCTGGCTATATAACCTACAAAGTGTTGATAAGTCATAGAAAATGAATAAAAAAAATCTCTTGAATTTAAAGGTTCTAAGGTTGGTGTATTAATGGTGAAGTTTATGTTCATATATAAACAATTAATGTGAAGCATACAAAAAATTAGGTTTCTACTACAGATTGTTTATTCTCTCTTTTTTATATCAACTGTAGGGAAACAAAGTTCTCAAATGTCTCTTGATTATATCCATTTTCTTTTTTTTGTCCAGAAGTTAGGGTAAGTAAGCGTCATTAAAATGCTTGTGCTCAAGTCCAGCTTTGTTGTACTTGCTTTTTTTATTGGAAGGTTTAAACACGGTGATGATATATCTGTTGTCTTTTCCTGGTTTAGAAGTTAGTTTAAGTAAGGATAAGCAACATGTTAATGTTCGAGTTCAAGTCAGCCTTGTGCAGAATTGGAACAACCAAAGAAAAATTTTTACTTGCTTTATTGTTGGAAGATTTAAACATTTTCGTTTTATTGATCTAGACGTTTGTTATGGCCTTGTTAGTGCCAAAAATAAAGACACAAGAGAGGAATTGGGTTAAACAAATATATTAACAGAAACAGTAATACAAACATATACAAACGAGAGTGTTACAGCAAGAATGTTCAGTTCGACTGTCAGAGCTGACTGCTGGAAACTTCCCTCTTCAAAAGGCAGTACCTACTCCTATTTATAGCTGGGAGAGTCCATTACCATAACAAACTTAGAGTAAGTAAGGATAAGCATCATAACAGTTGAGCTCAAGTCAGCATGCACACGTGACAAAGTTGGGTTTTTTTTTTTTTTTTTTTTTTAGTATCAGTAATTTAAGCTGGAGTCATGAAGTTTTCTTTGGTTTGGTTTTAGGTTTGTCAGTGAGAGACAAAGGTTAGTAGCTGTGTTATATTTTTATTAGGTCTTCTGGTAGCAGAATGAAAAAATAGTCTGTTAGGTGCAGTGATAGCATTGGTTGCAAAGGAAGTCATAAGATAAAAATAGACAGTCATTACTGTGAGAATTAAAAGAGTAAGTAGTAACTACAATGATGAAGGGAGTATCACTTGTCTGCTGACCAAGACAAAAAGGATTAAATAACAGTAAGGATATCATGGACTAAGTGATAACCTAAGCAACGATGAGTTTTTGTAGTGGATGCAAACAAGGAGGAAGCTTATACTTAACATCAGGAAGAAGTAACTGAAATTTCTGGGGCATGTAATGAGAAAGGAGGGCTTAGGGAATCTGATACTGATAGGGCAAATAGAAGGGACAAGGGAAAACAATACGTGATATACCTAACGGGCTTAAGCAAGTGGATGATAGAACAGGGTCTGGGAGAAGTAGTAAAAGGATAAAACTTATTGAAAGCTACAAGGGCTAGGGAGAAGTGGAGAGCTGTGATCGCTTACATTCTGGAGGGACACAGCACATAAAAGAAGTCCTAGTAGCAATAATAACTGTATTTTTTTTCTGCATGTGCTGAATATTACAAGTAAGTTTGCTGATTTGCTGTTCCAATTTGAATTGTAGTTTGTCGTATGAAATTACTTCTTTTAAATGTTGGGGTTACCAATTGTGCAATTTAAAAGGTTATATGGTGTTATATCTTATTGTTCTGTTGCTGTTAGATTAAGATCTCCCCCTCGTAACTTGGTAGGTTCTTACTAGCAGCAGCAGCAGCATGTTTATCTCCCCCAAAGTCCTTAATGGACTCAACCTCTGAACTCCATATAAACTGTACCCATTTCTTCTTGAGGGAGGGACTATTACATGCCTGGAGAACTCTTGTCAGTCTGAACCAGTGGTTATTAAACATAGTTAAGATCATTAGTTCCCACAAATAAGAAATCATCCACATGCATCACAAATGTTCTTTTTAATTTTTCATTGTCATAACACCTAAAGAGGGCTTTGTCCAACTCAGATTGCTTACAACCCAATTTAAAATCATTACTTCCCACAAATAAGAAATCATTCACATGCATCACATCATTGGTGTATATTGGAGATGAAGTGCATGTTCATATGTGTTGTAACCTCAGGAAGGTTACTGAATAGAATAATCACACAAAGGTTGGTAATGAACAATAATACGTAGGACACAAAATACACATATAAGATTTACCAGCGCTGTGTTGAAGAAGTAGTCAACTGGTAGAAGTGATTCAAGTAAGTAAATATAAGCATCATTTTAATCGTCAAGACTTGAGCTGAGTTGGAACGACAAAAGAAAAGGTTGATTTACTTCATAGGCAGAGGTTTTCGAAGGCATGTGTGAATGACATGGATTAGAAAGTGGAAAAGTTGGTTCTGTCATCAGTGGGGACTGCATAAATGAATGTACCCCACTGGGATGTCATTTCTCAATATTCTTTGAGCAAGGAAGAGGAAGCACATGTTTGTTTTTTATAGACTTAAACAGTGCCACCTAACAGGCGTTTGACATAGCTAAGTAGGATAATAAAATTTCTGGTTCCTTTATTACTAGCATCTTGAGAAAACTTTCTTTTTTTTTATTATTCATTATTATTATTGTTGTAACCTAGGGAAGCTTACTGAATAGAATAATCTCACGAAGGTTGGTAATGAACGATAATACTTAGGACAAGAACAACACGTATAAGATTCGCCAGTGGCACATAGAAGAAGTAGTCAACTGCTAGAAGTGAGTCAAGTAAATTCCACAATGAATCTCCAACTGCAGGATATCCACCAACCACCCCACACGGTTAGATGTGGCACAGGGCTGAATTTAATGTGAGGCATCTGAGTCTTTAGGCTTGTCCAAAAATTCTTTGTAGACACCATATAAAATGGGGCCAGGTAGCTGTTTCCCAAGATGAGACACTGCTCTTTGACAGAGCCTTGTCTGGAGATCTTCTCTGCCCAGAGGCAGAGAGTTTGACCAGCACAGCTGGAAACAAATCTCCAACTGCAGACCAACATACAGTATTTACTACTCTATTTATGTGAATGGGGGGGTATGCCCATTATCAGCCTTAGGTATGCTACAACACTATTACTAGCATCATGGGAAAATTTCCTTTTTTTATTATTCATTATTATTATTATTTTATTTATTGATTTTATTTCATTTTCCCACATGGCAATGATATATATATAAAAAGATCAACACAGTTCAAGTCCTTAATAGTATTACAAAGTTTTCACATATGATACTTTAAATATATTTTGTTACATTTACTATTATATTAATGTAATAATTCTGGTGGCACCTGCTTCTTAATTATTAAAAATAGAATTCTAAGCCCCCACTTTATGTACAGTCAAATCTTATATTAATATGAGTTCATCTATGTCATGAAAAATAATGTTATATATTTGTGAAGTCCTGGAATGTATTTACATGTGAGTCTTTCTATATAATAATTGTGAATGTCAGTGTGTCACTGTGTCACACCTATTCAACTTTACTCCTAGAGGCCATAGCCCAACATATCATACCATTTTGGAATTGGGCCAACTCTGAGGAAGTTAAAAGATTCTGGGCTGGATCCGGGCCTGCAATCCTGAAATTTTGAATTCCCAAGTTTTCATTACTGCAATTGTTTTTGGTCATTTTTTTTTTTTTTACGTGATTTTTTATGACAAATTTTTTTGTAAGATAACCATTTTTATAACTTGGAAATAAATGGGAATAATAAAAATTAATTGTGGAATCCAATGAAAGTCACCCATGAAATAAAAATAATTGTTTGTACATACGTGAAATTGTCTTTAAATTAAGTGGCGGCAGAAGAATTATTGTTGAACTCTTAAAATTTAAGCTTAAATATTAATGCAATACTTAAATGCACTGATCAGTTTTGAGTTCTTCTATAGTTTATTTTTGCCTATCACACCTACTCCTCCCTATCTATTGTAATGAAAGCCCAATCAAGAGCCCCCTCCACAGGAGCTAGCTTAAATGCCACTTGATAGGGTGGCTTTTTACCTAGTAAATATATATTTTCCAGTTGATATTCTGAGGGATTAGTTCATTATCTAATAACAATAAAATCTGATCTCCCACTACATGCTGAACAGAATGTTTTATGACATGATCCTTGAATAACAAAGTTGTCTAATCTCCAGAAGAACTTTGATTATTGTTTTTTGGTTTGGCTTGAAGAATACAAACAACATTTTTCATAATAGGTGAATTTTTAATGCTTTAAAAAACACTGTCAATAATTTGACAAAGAAGACAAATTTTTTAAAAGAGATTTACATTTTTTTTCTCCTTCTTTTATATTCAATGTGCACATATTTTTTGTCCTCAATTAAGCTCTGAAGAGTGAGGGAGAAGCAATAATCAGCTAGCCCTTTTTTGTTATATTTTTTTGATTCACCATTTTACAGTGGCTAATTTTTTTTCTTGTCTTTCCTCTCCCACTGTCTTGGATTTATATTTTTGCACATATTTATATACTTTAAAACATCCACATTTAAAGCTTTAATAAAATTACAAATAATAATTCCTTGTCATGCACAATCCTCATCAAAACCCCAGTAATCCATGAGGGCTGTTGGGGCACCACATGTCTAGGGTAATATAACCTTACACAGCCAATCTCTATTCATGCTGCTTTTGAGCACAAAGGTGTCCTTCCCCTAGAGAGTTGCCAACCCAGGCTAGACAGCTCAGGCTACCCTGCTATTTAACCCATAGCTAGAGAAAGAAGAGAATATGTAGAACAGACCAACCAAAGTTTTTTTCCTGTGTTATTCTGAGTGTACACAGCTGTGCATTATCAAAAATTAGAAAAACATCTAAACAGGGGGTGCTTTTCAATCAAACTTTCATGGACATGTTACAGTTGCTGGATGTATAAATGTGCATTGAGTGTTTCATTGTATTCTAAGAACTCCAAATGAGTAATTCACTGACAATCCCCGAACTTGTACAACATTAGCTTTCTTCCATGGAGCTCAGCTTTTGAGGGTCGGTTGAGGAAATTTATCCTTGTGATTTCATTGAACATTCTTGTCTGTAACCCACCTTTTCATCACCTATTATGATATATTTAAAGAATGGTTAGTTTGTCATTACAATTGGTTGCCACTTATAATTCATCCTCATAATGTCCTCACTCCCAAATCTTGAAGACCACACTGATGAATATGAGGCACAGTTAAGTGGTTTCCATAGTAAGAAAGTTTATTTTATTGGATTTAGTTTGCATGTGGAAGACAGTACATAAAGTGAAGAAGTCAGCAAGGTGTTGTGCAAGCTGGTACTCTAATGGTGTGTGGTATGTTCTGTTGGAGTTTGCAAGGATAAAGAGAGAAGGAAAGTTAGTTAGGAGGGTTTTCTTGTATATCAACTCTGTGGGTTATTTAATGCCAAATCCTGTTCTCACACACACACACACACACACACACACACACACACACACACACACACGATTTGAAAATGAAAAGTTTATAGGTAGAATTGTTTTTAAAACAAGCAGAGTTCATTTCTCCACACATGTTTAAAGTGATTTCAAGTATTTGGTGTCTATATTTTTGTTTCTCCAGCCTTGGATTTCAAACAATTCAAAATGATACGGAGCAGGACTTTAATAGGATGACTGATCAGGCTTATTGTCCTATAATTTTGATACTACCTGAGGCTTCCTTTGGCTTCCTGAGTCCACTCGTTAGGCCACTTTTCAAACAATGGACAGAATATATAGTGAAATTGCTGATGGCTACCATTGATATACCATTGTGGAGGAGATTTAGTGTGGCTTGTGCATTCAGATCCCTTCTATGATTACAAAAGTCAAGGAGATGATGATGATGATGATGATGATGATGATTTTTGGTCCAGCTGTACTTCTTTCAGGAATCCAAAAATGTTATTTGGATTGACCTGTTCAAAAATGTCCTTCAGCTTGTTGACCTGGTAATGTTTGGAAAGAATTTCATTGAAATCAATGCATTTCATCAATATATGTTCCACTGTAAATTGTGCAAGACAAGTCAACACAGAATGGAGGATCTTCTCTTTTAAGCAGATAAGAATGTGTTATGTATGTGTGGCCTTTGTGGAGTCGAACAAGGGTTACTTCCTCCTTTTTCACTTTTCTGTAACACTGGTAGGTCTTCATCATTGGTTGAATCTTTTTTAGTTTATTGTTAGTGCAGTTATCTTAGAGAGTTTGCCATTTGTTTATTATAAACTTATTAATTATTGGTTATAAATCAATGTATGGTATTTTGGTGTTTGTTTTGATACTATATAGTGACCTTTTGGCAGTTTTATCCACTTTATTGTTTCCACAATTGCCAAGAGAAGGAAAGAGTAAAACGAAAATGACACAACATGAAAAAGAAGGAAAAAGTAAGAAAACTGTTCAACATGAAGAGAGGAGGAAAGGGTAAGAAAACTGTTCAACATGAAGAGAGAAGGAAAGGGTAAGGAAAATGGAAAAGCTTTTAAATAATATGTTTCATCCCAATGTGACTAGAGTTAGGTTCAGCTTCTTCAGGTCATAATGAAAGACGAAACTGTGTGTAAAGAAAATCTCTTAGAACTTTTGAGCGTAAGAACAATAAATTGGATGACCTTATCAGATCCAATGGCAATTTTTGTTTCAAATACTATTATACATTCTACAAACATGCACAAATATATATTAACATCACTTAACAACAAATCCCTTGAAAATAGCTAAAGAAGTGGGCAAAAGCACTTGGGACAATAGACACTATGGACAATTTTTACACTCTTTTTTTCCCCCAGCAAAGAGAAACATTTTAGAATACTGGAAAACTCAATAAAAATTTACAATCTGTGTCTGCTATTCCGCAACCATTATCATTACAAATTATTCATTCATTATATGTCAGTATAACAAAATATCATCTTTGATGGTGAATATCTTTGTTTAAATGTCTGTATAACCATTCTGAAGATGGCTCATGTGAGGCGAAAGCTTAGATCAAGAAACAGCTTAATAAAAAAATATCCAAATTTGCAGAATTTTTTCTTCATTTTCTCCTGAAATTAAAGCAACTATATGAAGTTTAGAATGGCTCATGATTAAACATAATAGACATTCATTGTCTGTTATATTCAATATGTTTGAATAAAATATATATGAATATAAAAGTGGACATTGAAGTGAACACTCAGTGACTGAAAGCACTTTGGACAATATACACCACAAACAATTTTTACACTCCCATACTTCCACCAAATGTAATGTTAATTTATGTTAAATGCAATCGTCTGACCATGGCAGTAAAAACTTGGCCTGACAATTGTGTTTAGCATAAAACAGACTGTTGCCTCTGGGTGTTGACTTTAATGTTCACTTTTGTATTTACATTCGCTCTATCCATAATATTGAACACTTTAACTCATAAATATATCATACCTTAAAGCTAATATATATATATATATATATATATATATATATATATATATATTTTTTAAAATAGAAAAATTTACTTACTGTAAATTAATGTCTGTTTTGTGAATTTTTGTATTATTTTACACCCTGCTATGCAGTTGATTTTCATTTTTAACCCTTTAGCAGTGGACATAATAGGCTGAAAAATAATACAAAAATTCACAAAACAGACATTAATTTACAGTAAGTAAATTTTTCTATTTTAAAAATTATATATATATATATATATATATATATATATATATATTATATTTTAAATATTGAGCATTTTTTTGTTTTGTTTTTGATGTATCTGTATCTTTCAGTTCGGTTTTTATGTTTGTTCTGTATGAGACATCAATCTTGCACGGGATTTGCAAACAAGCTCACTTGAGAGACATGCTGAAGAGTTGACCGTCAAATGGGCTGATATATTGGCCCAAGATTTAGTGTTGGTTCTTAATTCTCTCAAATGGTTGAGACAATTCTTTTCAAAGTTAGTTACACCTCAGTGGCAGGTGTTTCTCCAGTTTGCTCGGTTTCAACAACAAATTCAAACTCCTCTATAGGGATGTTTGCTGCATTTAAATTGTATTTGAATTTGTCCTTGAAGCGTAACGAAGGACAGCCTACATTACACTTACCATGAAAAAGTTGGTTATACATGAGAGATTTTTGTCATCACTCATTCTTTTGACATGACCAGCCCATCTGAACTATATATATATATATATATATATATAAACTGATTATGGAATTGTCATATGTCTGTCCTGAAATGGACAGACATATGACAATTCCATAACTTTTGAAAATCATAGAACTGTGAAACTGGTGAAGTTACTTTAAAGAAATTTTATTAAAGACTTGTCAGATGTCCAGAAATTGATGTCGATTTCTTTCAGCAATACGTCTAGTCTCACCGAAGCCTAGAAGAGCAGTGGTCCCCCACGTCCACTCGCCTGATTTTTAATAGGTAGTGTTGTTCTCTTATGCAAATAAGTCTGCTGCATAAAAATGGCAGTAGGCATACGCATGCGTGACCAACTCTCAGAGAATGGCTCGATACGTGAGGCAGCAAATTCGTTTTGCTCCTGGTAAGTCACTGTTACATCTATTACAAGACTCCAGTTGCATTTTCAAATTCTTTTTCCTATATATATATATATATATATATATATATATATATATAGTGGAACTTTGTTCCTGAAGATGGCTCATGACTCAAGAGTATTTTCTTGATAGGAATCAATGTAAAATGGCTTAATTCAGTCATGGGTACCAGATGATTGCTTATTTAAACTTTTGCAACAATACTCTGGGCACAAGTTCATACACAAAACCAATGAATTATTAATGAAACCATTATTTAAACCCAACATCAAATAAGAGAAATGCGATACTAAACATCTAAAATACAACCAAAAACTTAATTTTTACCTGTATGGGAGAGAGTTGATGGTGTAAGGGGAAGGTGGTGAAGAAGGGGAGATATAATTATTGTTTGGAAGGGGAGAACCCCTTTCATAAAAAAAATATCAGGTACTAATCTGTTGGTATAATCGAGGCGAGTCCTATTAACACAACATAGAATTTGAAATATGTTAAAATTGACTCAGAAAAGAGCGCTTAATATTTATTTTTATTAAACATAGCAAATTTTCTTTACAATTGGAATTAAGATACCTTTAATATTATATATATATATATATCTTAAGATACCTTTAGTATTATATATGCAGAATAAGTGGGGTCTGGGGATTAGGTTATGTTTGTTTCTTTTTGTTTTCATTTCTTACCTATCATGGATTAATTATTTAATTTCCATGTTTTATTTTTATTTAAAATCTTTTCGTTTTTTTTTTATTTTGAAACCCTTTTGTGTTTGGCTTGCTGTCAGTAAAACTAATAAGTCTGCCCATATCGTCAGTGTCTATTCCCATCCTCTACATTTCCCTGACAGTAAAGTACGCACTTGAAGAGACCATCCAGGTTAATATCTTAGTGTGCGGTCAAAGTTTGGTTTTTGTTAGGCTTCTTCTTTTTCTTTTTTTTTTTTTTTTTTTTTTCCTTACAGTGTTGGCGGGTCGGGGGGGTGCTTTTGGGCTGCTCGGGCAGCATTAGAGGGTGAAGTAACTATAAGCAGAAATAATGTTCAACAAACATATTTCAGAGTAATTACTTTTTGTTTTCACATTGCCTTCTGGACTGTGTTTTCTTCACAATACACTGAACCAATCAAGATTTTCCTTTCTTTGTTACATTTAACAAAATGTAAGAACTGTTTGCAGGCCATGGAAATATAGTTAACATATGTGCCAGGGTTTATAGAATGATCTATAGAATAATACATTGTTTATAGAATGGTACTGTTGGCTTCTGCTTATTATATATACATTGGTATGTTGAAAGTCTGACATTGGAGCCAGAAGCCATTTTTGACATGCACAGAATTTGTAGTGGGCTTCATTATCTTTGCATGTCAACGACTCTATATTTATAGGATTTTTTTTATTTACACACTTTATATTATAATTTTATTAATTTCTTTAGTTGACGTGCTGATGTTTTTAGTTATTAATTAAAAGATTTTATCTTCATACCATTATTATTGTTGTGTATGGTATCATCTTGCCAGAGAGTAATTTTAAGTGCCTAATTACCAAGTCCCTTCCTTACCTTATTCATTATATCTATTTTTCTTAGTTCATTATCTATCTATCTCAGTCTGTTGTCTATCTATCTATCTATCTATCTATCTGCTTGTTGTCTATCTATTGTCTATTTATCTCTCTATCTGTTGTCTATCTCAGTCTATTGTCTATCTATTGTCTGTCTATTTATCTCTCTATTTGTTGTCTATCTCAGTCTATCTATCTATCTATCTATATCAGTCTGTTGTCTATCTATCTCAGTCTATCTATCTATCTATCTATTTATCTCAGTCTGTTGTCTATCTATCTATCTATCTATCTATCTATCTATCTATCTATCTATCTATCTATGTCTCTTATCTATCTATCTATGTCTCTTGTCTATCTATCTATCTATCTATCTATCTATCTATCTCTGTCTGTTGTCTATCTATCTATCTCTGTCTGTTGTCTATCTATTGTCTGTCTATTTATCTCTCTATCTGTTGTCTATCTATCTATCTATCTATCTATCTATCTCAGTCTGTTGTCTATCTATCTATCTATCTATCTCAGTCTTTCATCTATCATTTCCGTGTGTACTATCCAAATGTTCATGCTTGTTTTCAGATTTATAACTATTTCAAGGTAACTCAGCTTATTTAGCAAATAGAACATGCTGATATATAATGTTTCACGTAATAAAAAACCTACATGTCACATGTGATCTACAGAAAATACAAATCATAAGTTATTTACATTATGCTCTATGAATTACATAGGATGCAAAGGTTATAAGCATTTCAGTAAAGTGGAAAAATAGATGTCTTTCATTTGAGACCTTACATTATTAGTCAAGAGTCCAGCGGCCATAAATAATGCACAAAATATTAGATTAGGCCTTTCTTCAGACATCCTGCAATTAATGCAATCTCAATCGTTATCTTTTCTCTTCTTAATTCCTCTTCTTTTATTGTTGTCTTTCCTTAATAATGTTTTTTTTTTATTTCTATTATTCTTTTACAGTAAATAATCCCTCACATCTTAGTGGCTTTATAACCTTGCTCAGAGTGAAATAATTAAAAATATACCTTCATAGAATAGAAGATAAGGAAGCTAAACATATGATAGGCTGTCCTAGGGATAGTTTCACCCGATGCCACAAGATGCTACAAAACCAAAATATTAATCTAAGAACTCTAGACCTGTCCTTAAATATCCTTCTTAAAACAAGACATTCATATGGATTTTATAGGTGACATTCAACCTGTTCAGAAATATCTAAACTGTCAACTGTATACTACTTCTTTCTCAAATCAATGATTAAAAATGTCTTTGACAAAATGAAATTTCTTTGAAATATTGTGGATTGGTGCTATAGAATCACAAATAACTTTACCAAATTACAGAAACCATATTGCATGAGGACATTCAACAGCATTAACAACTAAAATGTATTGCACATGTCACTAGAAGAGAAAATAATGACAAAGTTGAATTTCCACACTACATCAAACAAAAGGTTAGGAAGGAAACCTCTATCAAAGCTGGAGAGAAAATTAATAGTTATTGGAGTTGAGTAATGAAACAGTAAAAAAATTATTCAAAATGAATAGAGAAGGAAAAGTTAAGGAAATGTCTGAACATGAAGAGAGGATGAAAGAGTAAGAAAAGGATACAACATGAAGAAAGAAAGAATAAGAAAAGTGACCCAACATGAAGAAAGAAAGAAAGAGTAAGAAAATGACTGAACATGAAGAGAGAAGGAAAGAGTAAAGAACCAACTCAATATGAAGAGAGAAAGAAAAAGTAATGAAATGACTTAACATGAAGAAAGAAGGAAAGAGTAAGAAAATGACTCAAGATGAAAGGAGTAAGCAAGAGTTTGGTGTTAAAAAAATATTGTATTTACCATACAGTTTCTATTATTAGCTCAGTTTCAGGGGACTGTTTCCTCCAGGCAGTACTTCTGAATCCAGAGAGGGCCAGAGGTCATAACTGATACCTAAGGTGTCCCTAAAATGTTAAGTGCTGAGGGAACTGGCACAAGAATCTCTCCTTAGCCCATGTATATATGGGATCTCCCTTTAAACTTGACCTTGTGTCACATTCTGTTTCAGAAATGCAAGAAAACTGCATTCTTTATATAGTCCTTATTTATTTAGCTCAGGCTCTGGGAGCCATCTCTCCAGTCAATACCTCCCCCTTGAGATGTGTCTTCTATAATGAGTAAGTGTTGAGAGGAGTGGAGTATTTTTCATCTCTAGTCCTATATTTGCATGTGGCCTGTATGCTAGAAAAGCTTTATGCCATATTTGGGATGAGGAGTGTGTTCTTATAAAAGCCTTGATTGGTTGGTTGGTTGGTTGGTTATTTTGTTATATGGCTTGTCAATCCCTCATGGGTCATTTAAAGCCAAGGCATTCTTATATTTCATGAAAGTTACATTTTTTTTTAATCCTTTATTTATTTATTTTTTATTATGGTTTCAGCTATTCTCCTCCCCACACAATCATGTGGCATCACTTACTTTGGTTGGTTTAAATATCAGTTATTTTTTTTTCTTTGGTATAAACCTACTCTTTTAAGAAATGATATTTTCATACTTATTATAAAACCCAGGTTGTGTGTGTGTGTCTGTTTGTTTATATATTAGATCGAATTTCCTACATTTTTCAACCAATTTCAACAAAACTTCACAGGACTATGTAAAATTACCTTGCGGTGGTTCTGACAGCGCCCAAAATTGGAAAAACACAATTGTTTTTGCACGAAATCAATTTGAAAACACAATTAAGAGGCATTAATGAAAGGGGGACAACTCATATCGAGTTATACTTATTATAAAACCCAGGTTGGGTTTTTTTGTGTGTGTGTGTTCGTTTATATATGGGATCAGATTTTGTACATTTTTCAACCGATTTCAACAAAACTTCACTTTTTTTTTTTGGCAGGTAGTGTTTCTTATTGTCTTGCACACTTTTGTCTTTATTTTTACATTCAGAATGCTTTAAAAATTCCATTTACAAGGCAATTGTTTATAATAAAATTCTATTCAATCGGTAGACTCATAATGATTGAAAACAATGTTTTTGTTTGAGTTTGGGTTTGAACAATTTGTAAAAAACAAAAAAAACGAAACAAAACAAAAAAAAAAAAAAAAACTAATTAAGACATGCGTGTTCATCAACCTTAAACAATAATCTTTGTCAATTTTATTTTTCAGTCTTTATGATGGTCGATACTTGATCTATCTCTTACTGTTACATCCCCAGGCAACGCCGGGCTCTACTGCTAGTATTGTCTAACCTCGCTCTTTCAAAGAGCTCCTTTAAGTTGTTTATATTAGAAGTATGTTTTCTTAGAGGGAGCAAAATTTGTACACCCAGTCAAAACATGTATTATAGTTTATACAGCTTTGCATGTTGGGCATATTGGTTGTTCTTTCCCTTTCAGTAATTCTTGTATGACCAATGCGCAGGCAGAAATGCAAACCTACATTTATTTGATGTCAGTTTTAATTAATTTCTATTGTCTTGTGTGGACACACATACAAACTTTGAGCCTCATATGTTACATATGAGAGATTGGTGACCATTATCAGCTTGGAGGGCTACTTCCATTAAAATGCATCATAATTGCCAACAACAACAACAACTTAAATGTTCTGGACCATCTGAAGTGTTGATGCTTTAGGAAAAGAGAAAAATCCAAAATAAAAAGTTCTGAAAATTAAAGGTATGGTAACTCTTCAGACATATGGCTTCAAGATATGTTACATTTCAAATTATATTTCTCTACTTCAAATTACAGCTTGTCATCTCAATGTTCAGCTAGTTTCAAATTATTTAAAATTTCTATTCAATCAAAAATTGTTTTTCTATCTATAAAAGTTCTTCTATGTGTCATGCCCCTTTAGAGTAATCATGGCTCACTTTCCTGTATTTTGGAGCTCTTAGTAAATTTTAGCTTTTTGCTATCTTGTTGTTTATGTGCTGTTTTCTTCTGTCCCTATTACCTGTGAGTATCAAATTTTCTAAGACCTCTTTCTTCATTATGCGTCCTAGACATTTCAACTATCACTTTCTGATTTGAAGTAAAAATGTCCTTTTTGTTTCCATTTTCTCTAAAATTTCATCGTTGCTCACATGTTCAGTCTATGGTATTCTCAGCATCCTTCTGTAGAACCATACTTTTGTTACTTCAAGTTTCTTCATCTGTGAGGAGATTGTCCAGCATTCTTTACCATATAGGAGGACTGATATTACATAACAGTTCAATATTCTTTTCTTTGTTTTTCTTCAAGTCTCTTCTTAATCTGTGTGGAGAAGGTCCAGCATTCACTGCCATATAGGAGGACTGATATTACATAACAGTTCAGTACTCTTTTCTTTTTTTCTGTTGCTTCAAGTCTCTTCTTCATATGTGAGGAGATTGTCCAGATTTCACTGCCATATAGGAGGACTGATATTACGTAACAGTTCAGTACTCTTTTCCTTTTTTCTGTTGCTTCAAGTCTCTTCTTCATCTGTGAGGAGATTGTCCAGCATTCACTGCCATATAGGAGGACTGATATTACGTAACAGTTCAATAATCTTTTCTTTGTTTCTGTTGCTTCAAGTCTCTTCTTCATCTGTGAGGATATTGTTCAGCATTGGAAGACTTCTTTCACTCTTGTGTGCAGTTTTTATTTTAATATCTCTTAAAGTGAGCCCAGTACTTATTGAGGGCACCATAAATCAACACTTTTTAGAACAAAGGTTCTTTATTGATATTAAATTTAATCTAGACCATCTGGTATTTCCTGGTCAGCATCAAATACTATATATGTATAAAAGTTCTGCTATAATGAGGAAACATTAAATTTTACTTTGAAGCTGCAATCTCATTTTCAGTCTTTCTTAGCCCTTTTTTACATTATTTTTCTAAACACTTTATTAAAATGATATGAAATTCTACCACCTCTCATTCAAATACTGCAGTGTATTGATCAGTTATAAAAAAAATTTATTATCAGAAAAAAATAAGTTGAACATAACACTGCTAGGGGTAGTTTTATTGAACACTGCAAGATAATACAAAAATAAAATGGTAACCTAAATAACCTCATTGGAGAGCTGAGTTCCAAATCCAGTCAGGTTTATTATATTCACTTATGCACAAGTATCCTCAGGAAAGGTATATATCCACCTCTTCTCAGCCCCATGCTATGGGTTAATTACTAGGACTTCTATCAGTATATCATTATTATATCCCCCAAAATTCTTTCAATAAAAAATAGTTTCTGGCTTTAAATAACCTTCAAAAGGTTGGTAAGTGCCACAGAATCACAAAGAACTGTACCAAATAACAGAAACCACATCACTTGAGGACTTTCAACAGCAGAAACAACAAAATGGATAGCACATATAATTCAAAGAGAAAATAATGAAGCCTGAGTGTCTTGGCAAAGATCATCCTTCTTTGAACCTTGTGGACTGGTGCTACAGAATCACAAACAAAGAAACTATACTGGATATCACATGTAAATCAAAGAAAAATAATGAAGCCTCAGTGTCTTGGCAAAGATTATCCT